CTCCGTGAGTTCAAACAGGCATTACTACAGGAATGGGTCCTACTGTAATAATAAGCAATCAGCAAAACTACTGCCAGTTTTCTGCGCCATTATCAAGCATGCATTTCAGTTAGAGAGTATCATACCCGTTATTAGCGAGATATTTCCATTTCAGACTCTTCCTCCTCATCTAGTCTTTTACAATGTGATGCTCGTAATACATATGTTTTTGGTTCTTTGCTTTATTGTTTGCTGTGCGGTCTAGTAATGCTCACCAACCTATTGGATGAGTTTCAGGCAAATCATTAAATGTTTTTTTGTTTTATTCTATATTTTGTCTTTGTTGCTTATTTTTGAAGCAGGAGCCAAATTTTGAAATTAGAATATATCCATTATTATAATAAACATGCATGCGTAAATTAATTTTATCAGTTTCATTGGATGGCAGCAGATTTCATTGGATGGAAAGTTCAAGTCACATTGGTGTACCACCTTCAAAGATTTACTTTTGTATAATAATTAAAATGACTAATGCTCAGAAATCTCTGTTTATAAATAAGAAAACTCGAAATGTATTTCCAAAGGTTTAAATGAACTTTCTTTATCATTGTTACTAATCAAGAAATTTAAATAAAGAAAGCTCGTTTTGTCATTTTACTGAAATATAAAAATCTGATATGGACACCACATGACTTATTTACATAGACACATGTACGACTTATTAAATTATGCAACATTTTTGTTTCAGTTGACTTAAACTCAATTCCTGAATTATTCTAACTTAGTTAATCGATCCATCAATGCAAATTGAAAATGATCTCAAAAACGGCAAATTTTGGAATAAAATATCCCGGCCAGTTTTTTCCGTGCGAGAATCATTATAATTTTATTTTTTCATACCGAGTATGAAATTTTCCTAAATATGAATACAGAAACTGCGAGATTGCATAAAAATTAGATTTCGTTATTTGTAGAAAATTCATTTCTTTTTAAATTTAGCATTGCCAGAACTTAAATATTTTCGTCAGTTAAAACACTTCTGTAACTGGAAGTGTATGACTACTACCGACGATTGCAAAAATAAAGGTTAGGCACTTTTAACCTCGACAAGAATTTGGGTATATTTCTTTATATATATAATGTTTGGTACATGCCGAATGCAATAAAGAAAGGAAGGTGCACAGCTAGATGTTATTGCAGTCCCATATATAAAATTTCAATGTTCTACGACTAATCGTTTTTTAATTATGCGAGATACGTACATACATATATGCATGCAGACAGACGTCCATGGAAATAAAGAATCGTTTATTCTGTTCGTACGTGCAAGTGTCACCAAAAAACTCATCTATATGGATTCGGTGAATGTCAAAATGGATATTTCCATTAAAGTGTGATGCCGAAATTTTCCGCGACTATAATACTTCCTTTGCATAGTAAAGAAAGTAAAGAGTGAACGAATAATTACCATTTAATATTATTTTTATATTTTGCCAAACTTACTTTCGAATTAATAAATAGTTTAAATTAAACATTATTATAAAATAATGCTTTACTCCAAATTTAAAAGCAGAATCTGTTTTCAATGCCTGTAAATTTTTTTTTCTGTTATTTTTAGACATTTAGACTCTTTTGGCTAGAAGTTAGACAAAAGTCGAGAGTTCGTATCTCGTATTAATAAAACTATGTTTAAATAATTACATCGTTAAAAATTTTAAGCACTTTCTAGTTTCAGTTATTGATTTTTAACTTCTAAAGTTTTATTTTCTAAAGGTTGTTTTCATAATAAAGGTTACATTTATTTCGCTATTGACGTATTTCGTTATGACTGTTACTGATTGCATTAATATTTTCGATTCATCGATATGTATCGGTCCATATGATTTGTTAATAAATGAATCTGAAAAGCAATTTGATTGGAGCATATTTAGCAGGATATTTTTTCCCTTTCTCTTGGAGAGCTGTAGTGTTTAAGTGATTAACTCGACATTTTGATTATTGCTGTTCTTCCCTACAATTGCTGTTAATAATTCATGAAAGGTTTAAGACAGCTCATAGCAGAAGAAGATATATATTTACTATTTCAAGTTAAATATAATATTCTGTTATTATTAATGACTAACACCAAAAATAAGAAACAAAGTCTTTGTATTTCACTTTATATAGGAAAAGGTATTATGAATTAAAATCTATATACATTCTTAAAGGAACGTTTAAAAGGAACCTCAAAAGAAAATCTAGAGGAAATTAAAAATTCCCTTTTGATGAATGACTCGTAGCATAGCGCATGAGTGTTTCTGATAATAAAAATTTAGGAGTTTTATAAGGCTAATAAATAAACTGCGTTATCACCATTTGCCTTCCTTCCAAATTGCGATATATACTATATTTTTTTCAGATAGCGATCTGAAGTGATACCTTATGATATTTCCTATTATAGCTATTTAAATATTCTATGGTTAGGTATAATGAACTTTTACCAAAGAAAAAACATTATGACCACTTTTTGCGACTAGCTCACATATAATTTATTTAAAAACAAATTTAAAACTTTCATTGAAGAAAATTTGCCTTCCTAGCAAATGTAAAGTGAAAAACATATTCATGGTAGAATCAATGAAATGAAAGAAAGTAGCGTTATTACTGAATTGATATGAGAATAGGGCAAAACAAATGAGAGTTTATGAGTGCAGTATCCCATTTTAAAATTTCTGAGGTAAATATCTTTTGTTCATTTTATTGCCTTCAGAGGTTTTTTAAAGAAGTAAACTATACGAAACGAAAAATGTATTAAAAGACATTTTAATTGATGTTTTCAGACTTAGTGTTGTCATCATTAATTAAGTATCAATGTAATCAATTGCAATGATAACTAAATGTGCAAACTATTAACGATTTTCTGTTCATTCTATTGCCTTCAGAGATTTTTTAATGAATTAAACTAACAATGTAATCAATTATATGGATAACTAAATGTGCAAAATATTAAAACTATTAAGACTCTTTATTCATTCTATTGCCTTCTTCTTTAATGAGATTATTTAATGAAGTAAACTATACGGAAAGAACTACGTATTAAATTTAAAGATTCTTTTTTATTTACGTTCGCAAGCTTAGCGTTGTTATCATTAACTAAGTAACAATGTAATCACTAATAATGATAACTAAATGTAACTACGAACTACTAAAACTAGATACACGAAACAACATCTAGATTCATACGCTTTCATTAAATTAATGAAATGTAATATTTTCTTTTTTTTTATTAATGCTATATTCGTATGATGTCGCTCTTTCAATACTCAAAATTTACTTAAGAAGGAAGCCGTACAAAAAGTCTTTGAATCATTTCAAAATTACATATTTATGGCTTGTTAAATTTTTATTGCTTTCAAAGTTAGAGGCAAAAAGTTTGTAGGGCACTGGAATTAAAAAAACCTTTTAAAATATACTTCTTATTAAAAATTTAATTAACGTACCAAATGTTTTATCCATAAATAGAACATCAAACAATGGATATTTCTTGCTCCTTTACTCATAGAGTCAAAGTAGAGACATTTCGCTTGAATTCACTCTATGAATAAACATTTTAGTTTTTAATTCATTTAAAACATGTTTCAAAAGGGTAAATTATTAAAAAATAGAAAACAGCATTTTAACCAGATTTTTTTTATGCCCAAAACTTCTGGTGTTGTATTAAGATTGATTGAACATTTAAGAAATCACCAGAAGTAATATTAAAAACAGATCAATCATTGTTATTTTCTGTAACAAAATTCTATTAAAATATTGCTCTACTCGGAATTTCAATCAGTTAGTATTACAAATATTAATTGATTTTTAAGCTCTTCAATATTTTTAAGTGTTTGGCAATGGAAACAGAGACGTCGCTAATGGCAACCTCTCATGGAAGCAATACTTGCAAAAAGCTTATATTAGAGCTTCGTGCAGGCTATCAAGTATAAATTAAATTTCAGAGTAAAAGGGACATATGCTCTTCACAACAATCGATTTAGTATTTAAAATTACTGTCTGTGATTTCATATGATACAAAGTGTTGATGATCTGGAAATTTATAAAATACATATGTTGTTTAATGGTAAGATTTGAAAACTAGATACATTTACCAACATTTCACGCTTATCACACTGTTCGAAATGCATTGTTAGTACCGATGTTAATTCAAAGAAAGCAGTGAAATTTTATCATTAATACTGTATTGTGAAACTTCTAAGGCCAAAATTGTGCTGTGAGATTTCCAAATCCAATGCGTGTTAAAGTTACACAGAATGTGTAACAAAGATTCAAACTGGTTTCAAAAGAAATTTTAAACGTATGCCAAATGAAAATTTTAATTAATTGAATAATAGATCTTATGGTTTAGTGTTTTCGAATAACAAGACTATTTAAAACTTGTAACATTCATTAAGCAAATTTAAATTATTTCGCAACTGCTTGATTTGATTATAGCCACGACTCAATCTGTTTTCAGTAAAATGTTATCATTTTTCTTTTGTAAACTTTACAACTTTTATGTGGAACTTAGTTTCTTAATTTAGAAGTGAACGAAGTCAACTATAGATTGAAAATAGGCAAGATATTTCAGTCACTTTTCTGTATGTAGCTTGCAATATGTTATTTCAAAATTTAAATATTTAAAAAATTGGTGGCAATATTTTCCTTGAAGCAAATATAAAGTGAGGATACGCGATAACGAAGGCCACGAAAACAGCATAAAAGTAGCCTCATGAGCAATAAATTATATTTTGAAACTTCTTGGTAAATTCGTTATTTCTTTCCTTCAAATATTCTAGCATCACACAAAAATTAACTGAAAGCAAGAAAAATATTTATTTTGAAATACCTTTGTAGTACTAAGAAGAAAGCATAGAAAACGACCATACATGGTATGATAATAAAGTTTACCGTTCAGAAGCGAATTAATTTGTTTTGACATAATGGAAATGCTTAATCACGGTAATGAATTTTGTCACGATTTTGATGTAATAACAAGATTACTTTGGCAACATACTTTTCTACTAAAAATACTAAGAATTTTAGGAGTTGACGTTCAAAGAACTGTTTCAATGAAATGCTTAAAGAGAAAAGTACAGCCAGTAAGTGTTTATTTACACTTCGTTTTCTTGTATGGCACATTGCTTTTCTTACGCGCAGTATTTTTCAGCCGTTCTGAAGTTACCAAATCCACTCTTTCAGGAATTACCTATAATTGCCTTTCATTGTTTCTGCTGTACGCTATGAGATCGAGATCTAAATTCTTGCGCAGACTACTTCGAAGATTAAATTATTTGAATTATACATATAAAGGACAGAATATTGTGAGATATCGTTTAATTAATATAAGTCTGCTTGTTACTGTGGCAGTACCATTGATTTTTACTGCTTCTTTGATAGTTTTTCACCATTTGGAAAGACATTCAAGAACGAGTTATTTTTGGTTGCTTGGATATAGTTTTTCTTCAAATACAGTTCTGGAGAAAATGCTGATATCTTTAAGCGCGGTGTTGTATTATAGTATTTACTGTAACATATAATGTTTTTTGCTGCATATTAAGCAAGAGCATAGAGTTTCATCTGAACATTATATCGTTAACTCCCCAAGATCTGGTTAATAGAATAAAATCATATAATGAAATATTACAGAGTTGTAGGCAACTGGAGGAATGTTGCTCATTCCCTCTCTTCTTAGTTTTATCTCTTTTCTTTATGACTATATTCACTGCTCTCAATTTGGCTCTTGGATATGTAAACCTTCCTTTACTTATTAGCTTCCAAGAATCAGTTTTAATGTTAACTATGTGCATAGTTAACATTTCTACAATATTTGTCAATGCATCTAAAATTCCAGAGTCTCTTGAAAAAGAGAAAGTCAAATATAAATGCACGTATCGTATTCTTTGCATGGAGAATTACTTAGGAAATCCTGTTCAGAAAAATATACTTCATCCTTTGAAGATTTTATCAGAAATACCAATAGCGCATCTTACAGTTTTCAATATAGTTCGAATTAATAGAAGTTTAATACTTAGTACAGTCGGATGTATCTTGACTTACGGTTTATTGATGATACAGTTTCATTCAGGTAAGAATTAATCGCCTTGAAATTTGTCGATGAAGGCTGGACGGAATATAATCTGCGATAGTAAAACTGTTCCATTTCTCTTTAAACTTGAAGAAAAGCTAAAAATGAGGTGTTTATTTCCTTAAGTATGTACAGATAAAATTCTTATACATTCAAATGACTGCACCAAAACGGAATTTTATCTTCAGTTCACGACTTAAGACTGCTGCACGGTTTGTAGTTTTTCCTTTTGAACACATTTCAAGATCATTGATGTGAATGATTATGCGAAGCTTAAGCTGCAGTTTATACAATAATCTATATTAAGTGATATATAATAGTCAGAAGTGTGCTGTTCACTTATACTGAATGGTGGATGAGTACTCTTTCTAATTTTATAATTTTAAACATTAAATTTGCTGAAAACTCAGCATAAGTAAGCTTAATTACGTTAAAAAGCAAAAAGAAAGCTAAGAGTGAAAATGTGGCTTTTGATATTGTCAGAAAACTTTTATTAGTCTTCAAATGTATCTGGTATTGAACAAAATCTTAAACCTATTGCGTTGTAGTTATTTAACACTGGAAAAAATAGCAAAAGCTCACAGTCATGTTCTACATAACGTATAATATTAAAACTATTACCTTAAAATTGTTTAAATACATTACACCTTCAGTGTTATATTCTCATCATTTAAGGAGTTAATTTCCAAAAATCTGTAGAATGTCTACCAATAGATAACCAAGATGTGGCTTTTAATGACGAAATAAACAACGAAATCTTTGAAAATACCTGATATGTTAACTCTTACGAGATCGACAAACTAGGTATTAAAATAATTTGAAATAAAAAAGTAGCTAAAATATTCAGACGATTAGATTTTTAAAAATTGAGAGACTTCGAGTTTAAATTCCAAGAAACGTACCTGATCCGAGAGAAATAGCTATCAGTTTTATCTTCAAATACTAAATATATGGACATTGTGGAGTCTTATACCATTAATACACATAAGCTGGGACTAAGTTATATATAAAAATAAGGAGATGGAATGTGAAAGTTCAAAACAAAGCCCATCCTGAGATTTAAAAAAACTTAACTTCGCACTTAGAAGTTACGATTTCGAGTGTAAAAAGAAAAGGAAAAATTTAAACATGATTTTTAAGTCGGCATATTCTTCTAATTGTTTGCAATATTGTTATATCTCATTTATTTCACTTACGGTTTACATAAAATAAAAACGTTGAGCTTTCTTTTATACACTTTTATTTTATTATGTATAACTGTTAAGTATGTAAGAAGAACACTTTTGTGAATTGGCTTATGCTTTTCTATAACTATAAAAAACTTCAGAAAAATTATTCCATTTGAAAGGTACATTTAGTGTTCATTCTGTTTCTAATTTATTGCAATGCGTGTTTCATGTTTATTACATTAGTTATTTTTAATTTGGTAGTATTACGGTTATAGAATCATTAAGTTTTTTGAAGCAGAAGACATGAAAAATTAATTACGCTTTCGCTGGGACTCGAGCCTCGAACTTTCCGTTTGTCAGCCGGACAGGCTTACTAGTAGTTATATCACAAATGCATTAGGTAAAGAAGGAGAAAAACTTTATATTCTCCCTCTCCGCCCATCTTTCAGTTTGGAAACCACTTGTAAAGTCAAGTTATCAGCCCAAATGGCGTTAACCCAGAAGAGCTGTTAATTTCCTGTTGGCATTTTGTGGCGTTTCACTTTTCAGATTGATGAGAAAAAGATTAATTAAAAAAATATTTTACGCATAAAGAGACGAAACAAAACAGAAAACTTATAAAATATAAATTCTTTTAGCAACTGCAAAATTTCATACTACTCTATTCATCCAATCAAGTTTGTCTGCTTGGTTTTGTCTTTTATTTAATGACTTCTTTTTGTAAAAGAAGAATGATCATAAATGATCATCTCATAGACTTGCGAGTAATATTGGTAATCTGTGACATTTCTCATTTATTAAAGAAAATTTGCCTAATCTCCGCGTCCTTGTTGAGTAAACTTATAGCTGTTATTTTTCACTGTGTAATTTTGTTAACTGCATTAAATTATCAGTTTTATTCATTTGAATAATTACTTGAATGAGATTTCAGCTAGCAAGTAGCTTGCAAAAGTATGGTTTGCTCAGTTTTTTTCGAAGCTTTGGGAAAAAATCGTTCCTAGAAATTCAAAAAAATGCATTTCCCCGAAGCCTCAAAAATATCACCCAGTTGAAAAAAAAAAAAAAAAAAAAAAAAAAAAAAAAAAAAAAAAAAAAAAAAAAAAAAACATCATGTATTGATAATTTGGCTATGAAAATTGTCATTAAGGCTTGGTAAAACGGTTTCTGCTGGCTAAGATTCCATTGGAGCTATTTTCACAATTTAATCTTTGCTGAATACTGTATCGCGATATCTATAATTCTGTACAAGAAATAAGCTCATATATACAAAATAAATGATATATACACTGAAATAAAATGGATAAAATATTTATAGAATTTTACAATATCGGTGCCTCTTTAGGGAACTGCACGTCGTGGGAGTGGAGTCTCCAAGACCTAAGACCAGTAACACTCATTATCATAAATAAGCGAAAATTTATCGTAGAATGCTACTTTAAAAGAGAGAGAGTTATTTGTATACGCATCATCTAGTCGTCCAGTTTCTGGATGACACAAAAGGAAGAGTAGAAAAATATAAGAAAGAAATTGATTAGAAAAAGGATCAGTAACGCCGTAAAAGTAGAAGATTTTTATTTACTTCACTGATTTTCCAATACTTCTGGCTTTAGAAATAACTATTGCTCTAACAATATCAAAGAAACATTTGGAAAAACACCAAAAGTAAAACACATTATAAGGTATTAACATAGTTTCACCTCACAGTAAGTTTTGCATATTTATATTATTAATGAAGAAAAATATAGAAAGAGATTTCATTGAATGTAGGCTGAATCCGCATACTTTTGTGGGAGAAGTCTGAGCTACATCAGGCGGAGCTATCTATACGTAGAATCGAAGATTATTCCAAAGTCACGAACGGAGGAAATTGTAATTCTCTGACAGTTATTTTCAACATTGCAGAATTCTGACTTCTTAATTAAAAATCTCTCAAATATGAAATTCAAAGGTGTTGCTCAGAATGGATGTAACCACTATTTGATTTCGGTTTGAGTTAAAATATATTGCTCAAGTTTTAGAGATCTGTGAATGGATTATGAAAGTATGAAAAAAAAATGAAAATAAATTTGATCAAATATCATTGAGAAAAAAAATGTATGCAAAACGAAATTTCTAGCACCATACAAAAGTTTCTGCTTATGATCCCTCAAGATATTTACTTAAATTCCGATATCTGATCATCCACAGCGTCGGGCCAAAGATATAATATGATATATCATTTATATAGTGATAAATGTAAGAAGTAGTTTTTTAAATGTTCGATCTAATAACCTTTTTCTAGACTATAAATTCTCATCGTGATTTCCATGACAGAAAGGGCTTTTCATAAAATTTCTAAGGATCTCCATTCCTCTTCCACTACTTACAACAGTCCATCAGTCGTGGTGGGTGTGCGCTTAGAAATAGCTTAAAGAGCTCTTTTCAAGAATTCAAAGACATAATAGTCCATAGGTGAAACTTCTAAAGTACTTCGTAAGAGCACGTTGAAAAGGTATACATGAAGTACCTATATCATTCTTTATTTTTTCAAGGAGTGCAGGGATACTTTACGAAGTACGTCTTATTGCTTTGTCTTGATAAAGTTTTCAGTCTTTGAATTGGACGAAACCGTTGGGACAAATCCGTCGGGATAACGAAATCGAATTTCTTCTATAACGTAAAACATTCTCTTGAGTTGATTTTGAACACTTCCTTTCCCCTCTCTTCTTATTTTTAATTTCCCGTTATAAGAGAATCATAAACCCCTTACTGAAATCAATTACTGCGACAATCATAAACCCCTTACTGAAGCTTTCTTTGCATTGACGGAAACAGGTTTCTACAGTTTTTATCTTGGGTTTCGATGATAAATGGACCTTTTGATGTTACAGTCATTTAGGTAAACTTATGTTTTATCAAGAATCATAATACTATACCAATTTATATTCTCCTAAATAGTTTCATACAAGGTGCTACAAATTGTTCTGAGTTGCCTTGGCAAAAACTAGTGAACATTACGTTTTTAGCGTTCATTATTTGTAAACTCTGGTTTATTATTTTATTCATTGTTAGTTCAGAAATATTTGAAGACTTTGAAACTGATTTGAGTAGGAGAGTTTTCTTTTGTTATCAACGCTTTAAATTTATAAACATCAGAAACAACAGGTACCTTTTTTGGGTATTCCTTTTTCGTATTTTCTTAGTCTTCTTTCTGCTTGGAAGAAATGAATGACGGTTTCTTCCTTTCCAATTAATATTATTGCTAATTTTGTGCTTAAAAATTTTAATACCATGCATTTCACAACATTTTTATCTATGGAATAGGAATATTGCTGTTGGAAAGTTAAAAAAATATCCTTCAACACACGGCTTGTTTAGATATGACATTTTCAAAGAAGAATACATTTAAAAATAGCAGAAGATATTTCCCATTTCGAATAATAGGCTGTTGACAGAAGTTTTTATTCCAGAACATTTGCTTTTTTAAAATTCTTAATTAAAATCGTTCTTAAAGAGTGTAAACACCATTAAAAAAATCTACAAATTTAGTAATAAAGAGTAAAAATGTAAGCGAAAGAATTAAATCTATTAAGATATATTCATCAATAAAAATTATTTCATTATTTTATTTTAGTGGATAGAATACTTTGTTAAAAAACATGTTCCTTTTCATACTATAAAAGATAATTCTTTGCCTTTTAAGGTAAGTGGGCGAGTGTGTAAAGGGGAAAATTTGCTTGAAGTTGAATACTTAGATATTGAATAGGATTGCTGCATACAGATTTGTCATATGCAACATAAATACATTGCAGATTTACTTAAAATGTCTTCCATGCAGACATCTTTCTTCACACGTTGATAGTTCTAGTGCGTTTTGAGCAATTAACACGTTGAACCCGGGGGACTGGCAGTGAACTTTCAGTGTGGCCGGCGTCGGTCCCTGGGGATCGGCAGTGAATTTTCCGTGTGGCCGGCGTCGGTCCCTGGAGACCGGCACTGGAATTTTCGTTTGGCTGGCGTCGGTCCGAGGGACCGACAGTATTAACATTCGCGACCACGAGCTTTATCACTCACAAACAGGGCTCGTATGTCGGTAGCCGGCAAAGCTCACCAACAGATAAGCTCTACTCAGTGCATGAAGTCGCGGATCACCCTGCAACATTGCACCGCTTCATCACTCGCGCCGGCTGAACGGAAAGGACAGCAAATTCGGCCCGGACTCAACGTGTTAAATAATCCATTAGAGATAAGTAAAAGTCTTGGAGAAAAGCCAATATTTCTTGCTTCCTTTCAAACAAAAAGAAGTTACTTGATGTTTAATGTTTCAGTATTAGTAAATTATGTATTTTGCAGTAACCAGACAATTACTTTTTAATTAAATCCTGCTCTAAAGAGATTATTTACTAAAATCTTACTACTTAAAACTGGTACTAAATTTGATATATCTTTTCATGCTTGCGAAAGTGTTTTTTTTTTTATCAAACTTAACATCTATTAAGAAAAATACAGCTACCAGTAGAAGTTCTTAACAGTAATCATTCATATTCATAAAATAGACAAATAATCCGGATCTTTCATTGTGATGTTTAAACGGTAATAATGCTTTGCTCTGAAGTGCATGTACTTTTTCTTGAACAAAAATTTCTAAATTTACAAATTTGCTTTTAGGTTCCTGGCAATGAAAACAGAGATTGCTGCTATTGACACGAATTCTAGAAGAGACTGATGCTTGCAGAACTTCGCTTTTAATTCTATGACATAGTGCTAAAGTGCGGTTAAGTCTCCAGGAGGAAAACCTTACCTATTCTGAACCTAGCTGACATTTAACTGTTGAGAAGGGAAAACAACTGAGATCCATATCTTGCTGGGAAGAAAGAAATAATCTATTTGCCCTTGAAACTAAATTATGACAGCACTTTGTTTAGACAAGGATCAGTATCCCCTTCGTGATATTATTAACATATCAGTTGTAAGATCTCATCTGCAGCACACTTGGTTATTGAAAGCATTGAGAATTTTAGAAATTAATGTGCAAATGAAAAATACATCAAAATGGTGCCTGAAACAACACATACAACCCGCTTGTATTTACCTGCACCTTATCTTCTTTCACATTTTATTGCTTTTAACAGTAGCTCGGGAAATTTCCAAAAGCATTGTTTCAGGCATTATCTGTAACTGTCTTTCATTATACTTATGGTACATCATTAAGCTAAGATCTAAATTCCTCTGTAGACTACTTCATAACTTGAACGACTTGAGCTATTCCATAGCAGGGCACAATTTCCTAAGGTACAAATTGATTAATGTAAGTCTGTTTGTTGTTTTCGTTATACCGTTAATATTTTCAGTACAGTTGATAACATTTCACTATTATGGTAGATATCTAGATCATATTCAATTTTGGTTGATGGGACATAGTTTACCATCAAATCAAATTCTGGAAAAAACTCTTATATTCATAAGTGCCGCGTTGTATTACAGCGTTCATATAGTACCTTGTATATTTGTAGTGACATATAGCGTCCTTTGCTGCATATTGAACAAGATCATACTATTTCATTTCAGGAAAATAAAAGTTACTTCTAAAGATCTGATTCATCAACTGAAGTCATACAATGCAATATTAAACTGCTGCAAATTATTTGAAAAGTGTTACTCCTTCCCTCTCTTATTAGACTTATGCTATTTCTTGATGACTACCTTTACAGCTCTAACATTGGCTCTTGGATACGCAAGCTTTTCTAGGCATATTAGGATACAAGAGTCAATTTTGATATTACTTGTCTCTGCAATTTCAATTTTCAGCATATTTGTGTGCGCTTCTAAAATTCCGGAATCTCTTGAAAATGTGAAAGCCAGATATCAATATATTTACCGAATTCTTTCAATAGAAAATTGTCAAGGAAAACTGTATGAGAAAAATATTCTTCGTCTTCTGAAAATTCTTTGCGAAATAGAAACTGTGCATCTTACAGTTTATAACGTGATTCGAGTTAATAGAAATTTAATGCTTAGTACAGTTGGTTGCATTTTGACTTACAGTTTATTGGTATTACAGTTGCAGTTAAATGATAAGTAGTCACGTTGAAGGTTTCGCTATAGATTAAACCTTGCTTTTGTTATTTAGACCTAACGACAGTAAAATATATTCATTTAATTTCGAGAAAAGAGTAAACTCCGCTGTAATATTTTTAAATAGTGCGTATCAGACTGGAGGCCTGCAAGTTACAGGGATTTTTGCGGTTTCACATTGAGGCTAAAAAAGCGTTATTTTCATTACTGATTATGGATTATCTAATGTGTGTATTTTTATAGCTTTCTTCTGAGAGTATACACATTGCACACTTAGATTTCTGACAATAGCTAAAAAGTGATTTTAACTGCAGATTGCTGCTATTTGATGCTGTTGTTTGATTTACTGCTTTGTATGTGTGCCTACAGTGTTCTCATTAATTTAAATATCATTCTTTAATTCTAACACTCTCATTAACTTATACTAGGAAATCAGGAAATGTTACGAGGAAATATGTTAAAATAGCATTTACATTTTCTCATGTGCGTTACGTAAATGTTTCTGGGTGCTGTTTCATCTATAATATCAAAGGTAATTCATATTAAATGTTATAATTATTTTGAAACAATCCATGTCCGTTTACTGTTGAAGAAAACAATTTTTGCTATAAGTGGTATAAATAAACACCCTAAACTGGTCCTATTATGTACCGAAGCCGATCTATACTGTTTCAAAAAATATACAGAATGTGTATAAAATATTAAAAAGAACCCGACTTAGAAAACGTAATTTTTTTCTTCTCAGAAAATGTTTAAAAGCACTCACCAAATATTTTGAGTAATTCCAATACTTATAATTTGTAAAAGTATGTTTGAATACATTCTAACTCGAGATGCACAAAATGTAGCTCAACGAGAAGACAAAATGAAGGATCTTCTAGAGCTCCTGAAAAGGCAAATTGTAAGCGTCCAGCTAATTGGTGGCCGGTGACATCAGCTGCAATGTTATAGTGAGTTTAGAGAGATATTAGCTGAAATCATGGTAGCATTCATATTTGACAAAGCATTGTTTTAGAGGCTAAATTGTAGAAGGAAAACGAATGTCGTTGGTAATTAAGGAAACTATTAAAGAGAATTATTATCTCAAACAGAAAGATCAGTGTGATAAATATAGCAGCTAACCTTAATATGTATCTACAGAATTCTCTTTCAATTTAAGCATTCTGAAAGAAACTTCATAAGCGAAATATTAAAGCATGATGGCTACAACAAGATCTCTGTGTCAGAAATAACAGCAAAACTGGATATATATGTTTATGACAAATCACAAAAATAAGAATGTTAATCAATAAAAACTATATCAATGAAATGAAATATACGAAAATATATGAAATAAACTTTAGATCACTTTCCCCCTTAAGACGTGTATATATACTTGTACGTAGAAAGATAACACGAACAAGAGAGACCTTCGTGGTAAAAAATTTTGCGCATTGTGCTGCAAAATTTTAAATTACTTGCAAAGAAGAGGAAAGTTCAAAAGCTAGAGAGAGAAAGAGAGCTATTATGTTTACTATAAATTATGTTTATTATTATATTATATTCTTTAATTATTATACTTTATAATATTAGATAACATTATTATGGAATGTAATATTTAGTGTGCTATTCTTTTGCCTAAAAAGCGCGACCAAGCAAAGAGATAATCTTTAGCAATTAAACTGGACTGCTGATTTATCACGTGAGTAATGAAAAACTGGCCCGCGTTTCTTAAAATGACTTCTTGGAATATACCTCACAGTCAGATTATCTTAATGCATTTGCCATAATTATGTAGTTAAGAACGTACAGAAGAAGTAACCATTCAATCTAGGCGAACTGGATGTTACTTGTTATATTAATAATGAAAGAAGTTTAAATATTTGGACATATTGCTAAATGTTACATATATTTTCAGTATTTGGTAAATTACATCTTACGGATAAACTGTTTGTAGTTCTACTGTTCTAATAAAACACATCCACTTTTAATAAAACAATTTTTAAAATTTTTGCATGATTAATCCATATAATAAAATAACTGCGTAATAAAAACTTGCAGTATAACGCTGTTTCAGGTAGATCATCTGGTAAGTTTAGTAAATCCTCTACAGCTAGCTTAAATTTTAATAGTAAACAAAGATATCAGTAGACATTATCAAATGAAACGCTTTCTTTATATCTTTTTTTATCAAACACTGATGACAGAATTGTTTTGTTGGAGAATTTCAAGCATGTTACTAATTTAATAATTTAATAACGATTTTCTTATTATATACATTTGATTTGAAGTATCTAGCAAGGGAAAGAAAGGTTGCTAATGGTAGCCTCCACTCCGAATTCCTTGACACTTTGAACTCAGAGGAACGGAATTCATTTTCACCGAGACTATGCAAGAAGCCTTGAAAGAGACTGTTCAAATAATTGCTAGTGTCGTAATTTTGCATACCTCAAAGTATACTCCATAACCTTATCAATCTCAAAATTATCCTGAAAAACCAAGCTCAGTTGAAATCCCAGCACTCAATGAAGTCAGTCCTGTATCCCAGAACCTTCGGAACAGAATTTTAATCGAAACACAAGTTCAAGGTAAATTAATGAATTTACTTTCACAAAGTTAAATAAATTAGTTCAAAATAAATTAGTGAATTTACTTTGAACAGGTGCCACGAAGTGATTTATGATCAGTCCCTATGTCGTATGCCTATGTTAAGAAAGAAACGTGAGCTCCCAACATTACTTATCTACTCAAAGAAGTTGGAAAAGTTGCTTTCAGACAACTTGGAAACTGCAATCCCCGCTCTACAAAATAAGAACTAAAATTAAGAAGATCTCACCAATTTGGAATTAAGGACTTGCCGTAACATGCTAAACAGCAAAAGACCTAGAGTCCCTCACAAAATCCCTTAAGGAGTCAAAGCAAATCAACAAAAATATAGACTTGAAATTTTCAACAAAAAGAACCCCGAAATCATAATTGATAAAGTTTCAGGTTACTTGTTCGAAGATGACATAAAACAAAAACTAATGACAATTTTTTAGCTTTCCAAAATGACATAGGAACAAAATTCCGCCTATCGAATAAAACCAAAGACCTTGTGGGATGGATTATTGAATGCTCGCCACAAACATTCAAAAATATATTGAGACAATATCCTTAAACATGGGCTGAAGAACACATTCAGAGAAGGAATTCACAGAAATTCGTCCCTGCTTTATCAGTACTTTACCCACCAGCACAAACAGTGTCGAAACAAACATTACTGTGCTTTTTGTGGTCCATGGCACTCGGCTGAGGAATGACGTGCAGAATGTAGTCGTGTAGCCCTGTATTAACTGATGCCTTCACAACAACATCAACAAGATCAACCTGAATACAGTACATCCTGCATTGTCATCGCAATGCCCTTGTTGTCAAAAAGAGGTAGCTAAGGTCTAGACTCGAACAGACTATGGATCTGACTAAGAACTCAGTGCCACGGAATGATTCTATAATACTTACAAAAATGCATTCCAAGTCAGACTCAAATAAAATTTCACAAATATATCTGCAACGAGCATATGTATCTAATGTTATATTAGAAATATTCCTGTCAAAGAACCCAACATGTATTCTGCTACTCCAAGAACCATATTGTGTCCAGGGAAAAATAGGCACCATTCCAAGCAACTGGAACATTTTCCAACATACGGAAGCTCGACAAAATACAGTAAACGCGGCAATTATATGCCGCAACGATAACTGGTCCTCAGTAATCATCTTTTTCTCCAAAGACATTATAAAAATCGCTCCTTACACAAGAGAGAAAATTCTTTTCATATCATTTTACTCCTCCCCCAACTAAGAGATCTTTCAAAACCTTGACTTCTGTGCGAAATTTTGCAAAAAATTCCCAGTTCTCCCCATATGATTAGCGGGGATTTCAACGCACATAACTCAGTCTGAGGCTACTCTCGCACAGATTCAAGAGGCACAGAAGTCGAAGATCTTATCAACAGCTTCAACCTAATTGTAATCAAAGATAACACCACTGCTCCGACCTTTCAAACAATTAACGGATCAGGATGGCCAGATATTACTCTTGTAAAAAATCCAATATCCCAAAAAATAAATCAGTGGACTGTCCTACAAGATGAGAATATATCAGCTTATAAAATTATCTCATTTGAGATCGATTTTTTGCCTTCAACAGCAAAATTCAAGTAACAAAATCTTAGAATCTGCACTCGGCGTTACTCTGCGTCGATCTTAAAATCATTTGATTCTCTGCGGTGGCCTGAAGTCTTAGGCACACTTAGGGACATCAAATGCCCGAAAAATATCTACGAAACCTTACTTTGGAAAGTTTCGTAAATATTAAAAAAAGCAGGAAAAAAAGATTATTATTTTCAAAAATAAGACTATTTAAAAAGAAGTAAGAAAGAGCTCGTCCGTAGGGCTTTTGTTTTAGCGCGGACTTCTGGAATCTAGCATTCGAAAACATTATCCAACACAAATGGGCATCACACACCAAATGCATCGCCTTCGCCGATGATACGCCCTTTGTTAATGGCAGAAATCGAGACGTGCTTGAAAATAATGTAAACAGCATATTAAACATCTTTAACGAATTATACAAGCAGCAAATATTAATCATATTTCATGAAAAGTCACAAAGATCTGTTTTCACAAACTTTCACAGAAAATTTCTAGCCTCCCAAAATTCCATATAGAAAATAAAAAGGTCAGAATTGTCAAATTTATAAAATATCTTGGCATTTGGATTATCTTGGCACTTAACTTTTTTGGCTATCTAGATTATGTCAAAAACAAAATATCTAAAACAGCAACAAACGTACGGAGAATTCAGGAAATTGGATGTGGCATAAACACGAAAATACAAAACGCGATTTATTTTTCTGTCATCGAAAAATCGCTCTATACGGGAGCAAACGTTTGAGCAAACCCAATGTCTACCTTAAACGAAAAAACTGCAAGCAATTCAAAGGGCTTTTCTTCTCAATTACACCAGAGGATAAAAGACAACAT